ATGATGAGAAAATATAAATTCATATTAGTGAAACTTGTTGTGCTGCACATATCACCCTCTTGGCTTATTTATTCTAAAGCTCATTAAGTATAAAACATTGTAGACAATTGTTTAACTGAAATTGCGTATTTGTAAGCCCACTTTACCCATTCTTATTACAAAGTCCTTAAAACAAAATTGAAAGTAGATGAAAATGCGACTAATAGCACTTGAAGCATACATTTACATTCTGTTGACTCACTAGACGGTAAATACATACAAAAGATGGTAAGCGGTGGTAAGATGGTAAGGGGGAGATTGTAAAAAAAACACAAAAAATGGCAGGTAGCTTACGTCAAACCCCTTATTTAGCTGTACCATCACGAGGCATCGAAATAATTTACGCAACGTGAAAGATGCAATGTGTGTCCGTGAGATTCTCGAAGACCCTTTAGATACAAAGCTAATGTCCTAAAATTATTTGGGGAGCTATTATTTGGGACTCTTCTTTATCAAAACACCTGTTATTTAACATAAAGCTGTTTCACATCATAAGCTACTAGATCAATTTCAGGACAGTGTTTCTTAATTAATGTTACAAGCTTTATTTACACAAAGATATTAAGCACAATGCAATGTACAGTTATGTGAGATAGAATAGCTTAAATACATCAGGTCAAAGTGTTTTGCAAACTCTCCAGGTTTTAAATTTTATGATTATGTATTACTTGGAATTGGATCATTATGCCTGCAAAACATGCAATGATTAGTAGTTTTGAACGAACTTTCGAAATGCAGTAGGAATGTTTTAAGGCTAATATGAGGGGACTTTGAATATTTGAGATGATGGCATTGTTACTGACTAAGATCAGCTGTTTAGGATCATAGCCCAACAATGAAGGACGGCTGAGTCTAATTAGGAACCATTACAAAAATATTGACTTTTTCAAGATCGAATCGACAAATTATTAATTACCGGGTGAGCACTATATCCAGATTCCCAACTATTCATTCTATATTCCTGTGTCGCTTACACGAACATACCTAATGACCCCGGAATCCTACAGAGTCCTGTGGGAGTTGAGGTTCTTTTTGGTACGCAATTAGATTCCTCGCTTGGAAATACGATTAAGTACCAAAAAGACATTTTCCTACAGTTACCTAACAATGTACATGTTCTCTCACTGATTTGAGAAAGCAAAGTGGCCAATTCGCTCACCAGTGAGACAATGTTAACATTGTCTCACTCTAATTACTTTGTCTCACTCCAGATTTGCAACGTGAAGGCACGAAATAGTGAGCGCGTAACATGCAGGCAACTTCGTATGCGCGCGAAATACGTTGGCAGCACTGGCTGTAAATCAGCTGGTCAGCTGTTGTACTGTTGTATTTGTCACTTCACATTAAATGTTATATTAAAAGTTTACTTCTGTGTAAAAATAGGTTATGTTTGTTCATGTTTCTTCACAAATGTTTTTGTTTTATGGTAACTGTAGGAAAAGTATAATGTGCAACTCGAGTTCAAAGTACAATTGCCTCACTCGAGAAACCATTCCTCACTCGCCTACGGCTCGTGAGTAAGGATTTCTCTCGAGTGAGTCAATTGCTCACTTTTCTCACTAGTTGCACAAATAACTATTTCACTCCATGTAATGAATATCTTATTTTCACCATACTGTGGATGCAACCTTCTAATCGTTACAAAATCAGACCATATAATTTGAGGATATACAAAGTCGTCATCAATGTTTACATTTCTGTCGTTTACAAACATAGCTTTAAATATCGTGTGATTAGTAGCGTTTTCATAATACACTGATAATATTTTTAGGTCAGCGAACCGAAAAATGTACCTTTTTTTCTGAAGTTACCAAAAAACGATGATTTTGCAGACGATTTAGAGAAATGCCTGCTTTCCGGACAGTATGATAAATACATTTTTGCAAGTATTCCACGTTGTTCAAACATACTCCTTTTTTCCATCTCTAAGTATTAAATATATTATATAAGTTAAATCCTACTCCCACCACGTGTGGGCAATTCCAGAGAGTGGCTGTTCAGTATTGGATTGGTCCGGTCTGGTCCAAGTAGCAAGCCTTTATGGCTCATAAACAGGTCATTATTGCATTTAGCTGATTTAAACCAGACGTCTTCCGATGCGTGTACTTAGATCCAAAAACTTCACATACAGTACAACAGTTACAACAACTGCTATAGCTGATACGAGTTATTTTTTTAATAACAGAGTAGAACATTAATTATGACGTGTTTCCTTTAACAAACTTTGGTCTCAATTCATAAATTCGGGAACTTTTTAGGCACTGTCGGAAGCCAACCTGATGCACAAATTTAATTATGATGTTTGATCATGATCGGTAGTATAGTTTTGGTTTTTGGGAGGAAAATTAAAGCAAACACAATAGTTATTTGTGTGGTTAGTAGGACACTCGCACACATTATATTTTTCACACAGTTACTATAAATCATATAAAATAATAGCTCTTTCAAACACTGTACAACACGTTTTTAGGTTATGTTAAATCCAACCTTTGAACGAAATGGGAAACGCTGCACCAGCTGATCGTAGCCGTAATATGTTTAAGTATTGCAAATTTATTTTCAAGCGTACACGGATTACGTGCATAATAAAATCACGCTGTTTTATGTTGTTAGATTGGAATACTGGTGTGCGGCAAAAGATCACTTTGCGGCAGAAGTCAAACGAGTGCGGCAAAAGTAAGTAGATGCAGCAATTGGCAACTTTCTGTGCTATAATCGGTGTAAGAAAAGTCACTTCCTCAGGTTACTGTAGGAAAACATTCTTTTTTATCCGATTACACGTTTTTATAAGCCATTAAATATGAGTATTTCGACATTAGAAACAATTTTAGATTCGTCTAGGATAAATAAAATAATACTTGAATAAATGCATATATTTTAGGAGGGGCAGTTAATAATGAAATTTTAACGCAACATGCAGTGATAAGGGGCAGACTATTGTAGCAATGCATTGTTTTGTATACTTACGGAACTAAATTAATCGTATTAGGAGGGTAAATTAAAACTATTTGTGCTCAAAAGTACATGGTATGTTTAAACTCCATCTTTTATTGGGCACGCAATTGCATAATAGAGTATTTAGAATATGTTAATCGAAAAAATATGAACGAAATGGTAAAATATTCAAAGCATAACATCAAATAGTACTATATTCAAAATAGGAAACAGCTTTATGAAAATATGGAGTTCAGTTCGGTTGGAGCCAGGGTTGTTATAAAAAATATCCTATTGAAAATCGAAAAAGGTCAAACATATCAGGTTTAGGTATAGTTAATGTCTCTTTGTATAAGCAAAATATCGCATTATTAAAATCAGTAAATAAATTAGTTTTCAAGACCGATACTCTATACTATTTTTGAGATATATTTATGACGGAATTCTACTATTTTCAGTGGCCTTGTTTCCTAGTATCTGTGTCGCTTTGAACGAATGACTTGTTAAGTTTTACAAATGTTGCATTTCCTGCTGCATCAATGAAGACAACTAAATGCAATTAGAACATGTTAATTGTATTAAATAGATACACAGACCATCACCAATTTAAATCGTATAGATTTGCTCTCCTGTGTAATTGATAGCAGAACTTGATAGAAATCACAACCTATATTTCAAAAATACCGTTTATAGTTAATTGTAGTATTATACAATTTAAATAGTTAAAAAATTAGGCTACTTGTAAAGTAAATATTTTCAAAAATACTTATTAATTTCATACATAATTGTCACGTTATTATTGTTAGAAAACGTAATCTATTAAATATAAATTGCTATTATATAAGTTAACTTACATTTCGTTAAAAAATAAACCCAGTGAAGCACAAGAAAAATGTAAGAGAATGTAGGTTATTTAATTATTTGTTTTCTGTTGAAAATTAAACAATCCGATTTGTACTTTGAATTTAAAGGAAAATCATAATGGTTAAAGTTATTTGTTATGAGCTTTAAAAATAAACGTATGCAAAACAGTTTACCTCCAGCTCGTAGTAGTTAAATTAGTCCGATTTATACAGGGTGTGTCTAAATTAAAAAGCAGAATCTTTCAAATTCATATAGGGTGACTAGTCTGATTGGAATTTAATCATGATTGATGACAACCAAACCTAAAATAAGCAATCTCGAACCTTCGATTTGTCGTGACGTTACTAATGTGGTAATATAATCTCATTCAGGGATATTCGGTAACAAGAGGAGACATTTGCCTAACCCTTGTTGTTCAAAGTCTTATTGCTGACATATTCCAGCATTGGCACAACACTAATTTTGAGAACGTAGAACAAGATTGTACACAAACACAGGCTACACAGTTAAACAATAAAACAACAAATCTCTTATCATAGTGATCAATATCACTGTGTTGGAATGTGACAGAATCAGTAGGCCTATTTAGATCCCAAAATGTCGTGGAACTTGTTTTTCAACCAGTGATGGAACATGCAATAGTCCTTGTTCACCAACGCATTTTGAGCTAACCTGTAGGTAAGTTTGTCAACTAATGATTCCAATCAGAAATTGGTGCAACTATGATCCAAAACTCCCATTAAAGTTTGTTTGTAAAAGATAGATAGATAGAATGGGTTGCTTTAACGGTTGCTTTTCTCAATAACGTCACGTCTTGAATTTCAAAATACCGTTAAAATTGCGATATCTTAAAAACAATTTATAACGCAATATTCATTTAGAAGAAGACCAAAACCAATAATTTTCTAAAGCCATAACTTTTCTACAAGTTTCTGTAAGATATCCCATTTCACAGTCTACATGGCATCAACCATTTATTTGCATCCAGAGCCATCTGTTTGCACTATCAGTGCGAAGGTGTGATTGGGCGGAGATGGTCGACCGTGACGGTGTTATCAGTGAGGGTCGTATCAGCTGTGGGTGGCCAGGGGGGCTGGGGGGATGAGGGGGTTGCTGCCCCCCTTATATAAAGCGCCGCGACGCTCGACTGTGCCATTGCACGCGCGTCAACAGATCAGACATGGCGTACTCTGACATCGCTGTTCTGCTCGCTGTCACGTTGGCCACACTGGCGATCACGCTGGCCTACCCTACCAAGGTACAGGATATTTTATTTTGTGTTTATCTACGAAGTTGGAATTGTTTAGGATTTTTTAGGGAACGGTCCAAACTCTGGTCATACTACAACGATAATCGGCGTCAATGACATTTTAAAGTTTTTTAAGGGCCGAACCTATTGTAGAAAACTTTTTTTGGGTACCACTAATTCTGAATGGCATCTGGGTACTGAAAGGGGCTGAAATTGAACCAACAACCTACGTATTTGAAGGCAAGCACTATAACTCAGATAAAATATATTATGTTGAAAAACATTAGGGAATCCAGCATTATTTGTATGCACATAACTCAGGAGAGTACAAACTACTAAAATTGGGGTTCGGTTATTTAGTTAATGTTTTTAAAGCGGCATATAATAGAATTTTGTTCAAAAAACGTATGAATACTAAAATATTCATGCTTTGGTCTAATTTAATTGGTTTATAAGATTACAAGAGTATCTAAAAATCACTTAAACTGGTTTTGAAAAATGATTTGTTGGAGATAGTTTAAAAATTTAGGTACTTTATATATTAGGGTTTTAAAACTCGAGCACGACTTAAAAATTCAATGAAAAATGTAATGCTAAAAATCAATTAAAATAGTGCTGGGTTCAAAAATTCGTAATAAATCCAATACAAGTTGTGTTTAGAGTAAAATAATACTGAACCATACATGCTTAAAGAGTTTTATTGGTTTATAAGATACAAATTTTACCGTTGAAATCACTTGCACAACTTTTGAAAAATATTTGGCTTATAACAGCAAAAATGTATTAAATTATAAAATACACAGTTCTTAAAAAGGATTGATTAGTTTAAAAATAAAATAATACTGATGCATATATACATAGTATAGTGTTTCATTGTGTTGTACAACTAACCGTAATCTACTATAAAAAAATTCAAAAACTATTTTCGAGAAATGTTTTGTTTAAACAAGATGAATAAATTTAGGTTATAAAAGTTATAATCTATTATATCGGTCCATAAGATTAAAACTGTACCTATGATAGAAGAGACTGGTAAATATATTTTTTTCATACAATTGGATAAATTTCAGTTATACAGTATAATATCCAACAAATCACTTGTTTTCATTTCATTCATTAGTATTTTTATGGTAAAAAAAGCGTTTAAAGTTAAAATTCTAATTAATACAAGCTACAGTCCAATTTATTCACTCATCTCGTAGATACATAGCCTACGATATCGCCAAAAGATTTTTGCACTGTTCGTCTCATGTAAAATAACATTAGGATATAAGTGCAGTAAAACATGGAGATATTAAAATAGAACCTACGAAGTTTCTAAAAAGATGTTATGTATTTAGCTTAAATAATACCGTTTTGCCATTACCGATCGAGTAATAATATTGAGCTATACAAGTAATATAAATGATTAATCTAAAACAAACCGTACCATAGAAAAGTCGCGAAAACGCCTTAAATAGTAAAAAAAAGTTACGCTATGTAAAACAAACTATAGCTCAACTGTATTTTACAATATATAAAACTAATGTTTCACATTTCAAAGTTGTACGATATTGGGTTATGAAAGCAATAATGTACTGTATTTTTATTACAAACCACAACTAATAAAATAACCTGTTTCTATAATTTGTTAAACAAAAGTATTACTTTTAAGTCATGCAAATTCTTTGGTGTTTTATGGTTTAACCACATCTCCAAAGAAAACCGGTTGAATCGTATTTTTTATAAATATTTTGATTGAAACAGTTTAAACATACTGAGTTTTATTATCTCATCAAACACAACACAAACTTTTCCTATGAAATAGCTAAGCAAGGTTTTGTTCAACAATTTATATATAACAAAAATAAAAATAAAAAAATAATTGAAATTGCAAATGTTGCACCACACAAACGGTAATCTTTTTGTTTTATCGTATGTCTTACTGTGTATTTAGCATAACTGAAAATAACTAGTTTGGAAAGTATGTAAAGTAGTAGGTAGAATACAAATTGTTTCTACAAACTCTGTAGAGGATGATGGGGCTGAATTTTTTAACCATAAGTAATAATGTGTACTAAACTTTTTATCTTTACAGTTTTTACTATCAGTTTCTTTTACAATTAAAAACGCAGATTTTGTTTTAGTTATTTTGACCAACGGTTTACATTTGAGGGCGGAATGTAAAAAAAATCAAAATATTTTATTTGTAGAAGTTATGATTATTTACATAAACCGCTAAAGTTCTTTTAAGGTCTTATTTTTTATCTTTGCTTTAAGACTGATTAATATAATATAAACTCTAAAAACCCCTAAAATTAAAAAAAAAACCTCTAAAACTTGAAATAAAACCCCTTAAGAAAAATAAGTAACTTGAATGCTTTTCAAAATTGTATGTTGTAGTATCTAGTAATTATTGTAATAGCTAGTACTTACGTAGTTTCAGGTATCTTTTAATTAAACCTCAAAACAACTGACAACATTTTTATAATACCATAACATAATTTAATTAGTCATTTTGCAGTAATTTTTAACACAACTTAAACTAAGCTATGATTAGGCCATAGTAGTTGTATCTCAATTTATAATTAATTTTCATTTATTTATCTTCGTATGCATATAGTGTATTCTGTTCTTTCACATTTTTTAGTGTGAGAAATTGAGCTTATATAAAAATCTATTGATAAATAATAACTTGACTTACTACATAAAATAAGTTATAGTCAAACAATTATTGTCACTTTTTAAAATTTTAAAATTAATAGTGTTAAATAAAAATCTAATGCACAAGAGATTTTGTAAAAAAAAGATATTACGCTATAAAGTATAATTTTAGCTCACGGTTGCCTGCAAAATTTACAATTTGGGTAATGTTTAGTTAGTAGCTCCTGGAAATAAAAAAACTCTAAAACAAAAAAATCTTTTAAATTATCTTTAGTAGAACCATTGTAGAACTAAAACATATAGGGATTTTATAAGCTTATCAAGTATTTACAACATTTCCATATCATCTAAAAGTTTAGTTGATAAAAAACCATTTTGATACATTATATTTTTTTCTACGCATACTAGTTACAGTGGTAATAATTAAATAACATAAAGTTTACCGAGAACGATCTGGTTGTTGTATGTCGTCTTTATTTGATAAAATTTCTTTCGTTTTAAATTTGTACTAGCTGTACCCGCGGGCTTTGTCCCGTTTAACTTGATAAGTATTCGCATGGCTCATTCACGTCCTGGTTGAAGTTCGTTCGCTACGCTCACTCACCTTTAAGGTTGGAGCTCGTTCGCTACGCTGACTCGCCTCCAGGTTGAAGTTCGTCCGCTACGCTCACTCACCTTTTGGTTGGAAATTAGCTGTTGTCATAAATAAAAAAAAATAATAGTGCTGTACCCTGTTGGTAATCCTTGTAACTTTGATGCTAATGAACATCACAGAACAGAACCAACTTGTATAATTGAAACAGCTGTTAAGATTCATTAATTCCTTTTAAATATGAAAAATCATAAGGTTAACATGGGGAACTACAGAGCCACTGGGGCGGAGCCCGACAGGATTTTTGAGATAAGAATATGCTTAATTGTTAATCGGGAATGTGAGCTATCATCATGCCAAATTTCAGCCCAATCCGTCCAGTAGTTTATGCGTGATTGAGCAACACACACACAAACTCACAAACTTTCAGATTTATAATATTAGTAAGATTTGGTATAAAATGTAGAACATCAATTTATTAGATTTTGAGCAATTTAGTTTAAAATGAACATCTTAATCGCTGTGTCTTTATTTTTTTCGGGGAATGTGATATTAGTATTACTAAACAAATTGCAAAAATAATTTACTTAGCAAATAAACTAAAATAAATCCAATTAAATGTCAATGTACAAGTTACTAGTTACCATGTTTATGAGATTAAGATTTTTTTTTATTTCCATAATATAAAAGTATGTTTTTGCATCTTAAGCGGTTCCAAATTATCATTGCGGTAACCTAGCATGATTATAACGTGTATTGTTGTGGTGACGACATAAAACATAAAACTACCTTCACTCAGGTTGCCTCTAGGCAACCTCATAGGAGACAAAAGCTAACACATTTGTTGGACGTTAAACCTAACGTCATGAGGGATGATAAACAATTCTCATTGTTGTAGAGAGTTTTCAGTTAAAATCGTCCGTATTTATATTAATTTTCCGTGTTAAAGGTATAATTCATATACTTTGTGAAAATTTATCAGTTTTGTGTTTCCTTTGCCTATAGGCTTTTGTCGTAAAACTAAATAGAAAATATTTAGAGTGATTAGCTAAAGCAATTTACACACTAATACGTAGGTATATTATCAAACCTAACCGCATAATTCTTTTAACGCGATTTCCAAAAATACCCAATTGACGAAAATGCTAATCTAATTCAATTATATAATTTTATTCAATTAATGCTGCACACTTTTTGCTCTTATGGCAATTAAAATGGTTAAGTAATTTTCCAACTAGAAATAAAAACCATGATTAAACTTCATGCTGCTTAGAGAACTACACGATTAAAAGACAGCTAGTTTTAACTGTGTGAAACAAATTATCTAGCACAAATGATTCCACTATTTAACAAGTGAGACAGGTGCTTAGGTTTGAAAACTCAATTCTCTACACAAATATTTTAACCAAAGTAAATATTTAGGTTAAAATATTTGAGTTTTCAAACCTAAGAACCTGTCTCACTTGTTAAATAGTGGAATCATTTGTGCTAGATAATTTGTTTCACACAGTTAAAACTAGCTGTCTTTTAATCGTATATTTCTCTTTGAAGCAGCATGAAGTTGAATAATGGTTTTAATAGCATAGCTGAAACAATTTGGGGATTAAAATTAATTTCTTTTGGCACAGAAATCAATCAACTAGTTAAATAATTCATGGAGGCACACTGATCTGGTTTAACTTTCGTTGAGGCTACCGTTCAGGATTCCGTGCATTGAATAATGAATCAATCACGTTGCATATTCATTTTTTATTGATTGACGTTATTTTGATAC